ACCTGCGCTTGCTTTTCACGATCTTTAACCCTCCCATCTCGGCTCAGCTGTCTTTCTTGGAGTGACTGCGAGGTCCTCTTCACCTAAAAGCCTCTGTCATTGTTTCATGAGTCATGAATCTATCAACCTACAATAAAAAGACAGACCTCAGGAACAGATGATACACACAGAATCAGTCAGGAACAGATACAGACAAATACAAACCTCAGAGCTAGCAAACACTTCAAGTTCTCTAACGTTTCCAGTTGCAGCCAAATCTTTAGCTTTCCTCATCACAGCAAGGTCTGGAAATACGTGAAGAGGATTCTTGATTCTAACAAACACACAAACATAACTTCATGTTATTACATCTCTTTAAATCATCCATAAGAAAAATTTAAACAGAGAGACGAAAGATCAAATACCCCTTTGTCTCGTCTTATCCTCAGCATCTTGATCCTTTCATAAGATCTGTCTCTCTTGTGAAGAACATGTGCCATTTCCACATCCAAAGCCTTGATCTTGTTCTGACTCTTGCCCATTTTGTCACCAGGTGGTTCAAGTTCCAAGTAATCGCATCCACCTCCTTCCTTACTTCATTCAGTTCCACAGCCATTGCCTGAAATAAACCAACTCACATCTTTAGATTCTCAACAATGTTTTTGGTAAAGTCTTGAGCTTTCGAATTTAGATCTTTACCTTGAGACTCTGTATGAAAGCTTCTTTCTTTGCAAGAGACTCCTCACTGAGCGGTATTAACCCATCAGGCTTCTCTGTCTCCTTAAGAACCCAATCTTCTTCCTCAAAACCGGTGCTTCCATGTTCAATCACGTAATGCGCTATGTAGATCTGCATCCACCAACATTCAAACACACTTAACACAATCAGCGACCTTTAAAAACAGAGTTTTTTTTTAGTAAAGAGAACAAATTTCATTACAAGATGATCAAGCTCCTCCTTGGAAACACAAAGCTGGTCACTAACAGAGCACCGGAGATTCCGGAGAGATTCATGAAGAGTATCAAAGTCCTTCATCTTCTCCTCAAACACCACTTTGTCTCCTTCACACTTAATCACCAAGCTCTCCATTTGAGATAACAGAGACGAAATCTCAGCCTACAAACAAAAACCCAAAAATTAAAACTTGGTAACGTAAAAAAAAGGTTTTTTTTTTTCTTGTAAAGACTCACCCTTTCGGATTTCTGTGCATTGGAGAGATCAATTCGGAGTTTATTAAACTGATAAATCTCGGAATCAGCTTCATCGATCTTGGCTTTGATCTCGGGATCGTCATAAGCAGGTTGCTTAACTATGTAGAAAGAGAAAGGTGTTGTCTCTTCTTCGGGCCATTCCTCTTCAGCCTGAGCTCTTCCCGGCGAGCTATCTCCGGAGAAAACAGTGCTGTCTTCTTCGGTGGTCACCGTTGATTCGTCGCAGTTTGAACCACCGGACTGTTCGCTTCCGAAGAGTATTAGGTCGTTCATCTCCGGCGGAGGAACCACCTCGAAGCCGTCGAAGAGAATTATCTGCGCACCCATTTCTTCCTTCAAAGACAAAAGAACAGAGAACAGAGGAAACTCACTATAAGAAGTGTGACATTGTGTAATGAAGCTGAGATCGAGACAAAACTTTAAAAAGGTTTTGTCAGAAAAAAAAATAAATAAACCCCCAACAAAAAAAAGTGCAAAAGATAAAAAATAAAGAAGATTTAAGAACATACGAGAATCAGAAAAGAGAACAAAAGGATATTTCCACCAATCACCAACAAAGATATGTCCTTTACATTAAACCCAGAATTTATTTCGGAAGATTCAGCTCGGAATTAAAAATGTAAAAAAAATGAAAAAAAAACGCAGAATCGACGAAGAAGATTTCAGAGTAATTAAGATAAATTTCGAGGCTTTAACGGAAAAAGTTATTGGGAATTACCGAGAGAGAAATGAGTGACGAACAGATGTCTCCGAAAATCTCAGGGTTTTGGCTGAAGAGGAAAATCTAATCTAATTACGATTACTGGGGATAAATTATGAAATCTAAAGGTAGAAAAAAATCTTGTCTTTAAGGTATGTATAGAGAGAGGGAGAGACAGAGAGAGAAACCCTGTTCTTCCTCTTCTTCTTCTTCTTCTTCTTCTTCTTCTTCTTCTCTCTATCAATGGAGAGAGAAGAGGAGAGACTGGATCAGACAGGTTTTTCTCTTTTGGCTATTTCTTTCAAATCTCTATCTTCAAGACTTTAAAAAAAGATTTTCTTCTTCATCCTAATTTAAAAATATATTAAGGAAATAAAGATTTCTTGTATTAATTTAATTCTATCTCTCCCTTTTTATTTTTTTTCTTTAATCCTTCTATCCAAATTTGCAAAATCGTTTTTTTATTTATTTTAAATGTTAGACCTTTGTTTATTTCCATAATACTAATTTTTATGAAAACTGTCAAACATTAAAAACTGGCTGACCAAAAAAAAAACACTAATTATTACTGTTCACAAGAAAAACACTAGTTAAATTATTATGACTAAATTACTTGTTCTTGACCGGAAATGTCTAATGACAAGAACAAGAAAGAAAATAAAACAATTTCCCTATGGGTTTAGGATGGTCAGAGTCAACTCTTGTTTATACAAGTTGACTGTTGACTTTCTTTGTACTTGACATTATTAATCAAATGCCCTTTTTATTGCATAGAGTCATATGCATCACATCGAAGATTTTGGCAAGAAAAATGAGAGTTTATTTCTCAATGAAGATAGCCCTTATTATTTTTATTCAATAAGTAACGTAATTAACTTAAGTAACTTATGGTTATGGATGATAAAACTAAATGCTGACAAAGCATGGCATTGACCACTACCTGACATAAAATTGAGAAGGTTCTACTTCTATATCCAATGTTAGTAATGTTTTTAATGCTTATATTTGAATTCAAAAGTTCATTTTTGAGATTTAAGCAAGCTCGAGATATCTCATAGTCCTCATCCCACGTTGAACAGAGATGGCATATTAGAAAGCTGAGCATCATAATATATCAGTATACTTTTTTGGGTACCAATATTTTTTAAGGTGGTAAATTATCTTCGAAAGTCTTTGTCATTATTTGTAAAACAGATATTAATATATTATATTGAAACTAAAATATAAAATAATTAAAGAAAATCTCTATTGATGGGATGCAGTCATGCAGAAGCCAATTCAGTTTCCATTGCTAAATTAATTGCCAAAAGAGTTTTTAATTACAGTATTTAACTATGTTTGGACAAAGGACAAAACTCTCTAACCACCCAAGAACAAAACGATTTTTAGCATTTAATTATGGGCACTTATCGGTTACTACTTACAACCTTTTCAGTGACAATTAATCAATTATAGACGTTACGTAAAAAAAAGTTATGCAAAAGACAAAACCAAAAAGGTCGACTAGTTTTCTGGCCGTTGAAATTATCAAAGATTTTTAAATCTAATTTTTTTAAATAAAGTCTTTTAGTTCTCTTTTGTTTATCTCTTTCTAATATTTTTGAGAGAAAGTGAGAGCTCATTGTAAATCTTTTTGGTTTTTCTTGCTAATTTCAGTTCGGGTAATAGTTTTTTGGATAAACTTTTTTTTTCTTTACACAAAGATTTAAAAATATAATTTCAGATTCAGTCGATCGACTTTTATTGTCAATTTAACTCTCTTTGAATGTAGAAATAGTATTTTTCCGTTTTTATGTGGACTTTGTTGTCTTTTTCCGAGCTTTTTGGAGATCGAGTTATAATGAGAAAAACCATTTACCGACGACTACAATAAAGTTTTTTTGGATTTGCATCGACCAAGATTATGGAGAAAAGTCGTGGATTTTAGGCACCGCAATTAGTTTGTTCCCTTTATCGTTTTGTATGTTAACACGTGACACTTTTTTCTTAATTTTATTTTATGCATCAGCAAAAATTACAGAGAAAACTCGTGGATTTTTGGTGCAGCAATTAGCTTGTTCCCTTTGTCGTTTCACATGTTAACATGTGACACTTTCTTTTCTTAATCTTATCTTGTTTCATGTAATAGTTTTCCGGATAATTTTAGTTTTCCTTACACAAGTTTTTTAAAGTTTAATTTTGGATTCAATTGATCGACTTTTATTGTCAACTTTTCGCTGTCTTTTATGTGGACTTTGTTGTCTTTTCCGGAGCTTCTTGGAGTTCGAGTTGAGATGAGGAAAACTATCTATAGACAGCTGCAATAAAGTTTTTTTTTTATTTGCATCGGCGAAGACTATGGAGAAAACTCATGGATTTTTGGCACTGCAATTAGTTTGTTCCTTTAGTTGTTTTGTATATTAATATGTTATACTTTTTAATTAAATTTATGCATCGACAAAGATTACGGAGAAAACTCATGGATTTTTGTCGCCGCATTTAGTTTGTTCCCTTTGTTGTTTCGTATGTTAACACGTGACATTGTCTTTTTCTTAATCTTATCTTGTTTTAGGTAATAGTTTTCCGGATAAGCTCTTTTTTATCTTTACACAAGTTTTTAAAGGTTTATTTCGAATTCAATCGATTGTCTTTTATTCGTCAACTAAACTCTCTTTTAATGCAAAGTCTTTTATGTGAACTTTGTTGTCTTTTGCGAAGCATTTTGCAGATGAGATTGAGGTGATAAATAGTCATTTATAGATGGCTGCAATAATTTTTTTTTTAGATTTGCATCAGCGAAGATTACGGAGAAAACTCTTGGATTTGTGGCACCGCAATTAGCTTGTTCCCTTTGTCGTTTTGCATGTTAACACGTGACACTTTCTTTTCTTAATCTTATCTTGTTTTATGTAATAGTTTTCCGGATAATTTTTGTTTTCCTTGTAGAAGTTTTTGAAACTTTAATTTTGGATTCAGTTGATCGACTTTTATTGTCAACTTTTCGCTCTCTTTTATGTAGACTTTGTTGTCTTCTCCGGAGCTTCTTGGAGTTCGAGTTGAGATGAGGAAAACTATCTATAGACAGCTGCAATAAAGTTTTTTATTTTATTTGCATCGGCGAAGATTATGGAGAAAACTCATGGATATTTGGCGCTGCAATTAGTTTGTTCCTTTAGTCGTTTTGTATATTAATATGTTATACATTTTTCTTAAATATATGCATCGACGAAACATTACGCAGAAAACTCATGGATTTTTGTCGCCGCATTTAGTTTGTTCCCTTTGTCGTTTCGTATGTTAACACGTGACACTGTCTTTTCTTAATCTTATCTTGTTTTAGGTAATAGTTTTCTGGATAAGCTATTTTTTTTATCTTTACACAAGTTTTTAAAGGTTTATTTCAAATTCAATCGATTGTCTTTTATTCGTCAACTAAACTCTCTTTTAATGCAAAAATAATATTTCTGCAGTCTTTTATGTGAACTTTGTTGTCTTTTGCGTAGCATTTTGCATATGAGATTGAGGTGATAAATAGTCATTTATGGATGGCTGCAAAAAAAATTTTTTTGGATTTGCATCAGTGAAGATTACGGAGAAAACTCTTGGATTTTTGGCGCTGCAATTAGCTTGTTCCCTTTGTCGTTTTGCATGTTAACACGTGACACTTTCTTTTCTTAATCTTATCTTGTTTCATGTAATAGTTTTTCGGATAATTTTTGTTTTCCTTGCACAAGTGTTTGAAAGTTTAATTTTGGATTCAGTTGATCGACTTTTACTGTCAACTTTTCGCTGTCTTTTATGTGGACTTTGTTTTCTTTTCCGGAGCTTCTTGGAGTTCGAGTTGAGATGAGGAAAACTATCTATAGACAGCTGCAATAAAGTTTTTTTTATTTGCATCGGCGAAGATTATGGAGAAAACTCATGGATTTTTGGCGCCGCAATTAGTTTGTTCCTTTAGTCATTTTGTATATTAATATGTTATACTTTTTTCTTAAATTTATGGATCAACAAAGATTACGGAGAAAACTCATGGATTTTTGTCGCAGCATTTAGTTTGTTCCCTTTGTCGTTTCGTATGTTAACACGTGACTCTGTCTTTTCTTAATCTTATCTTGTTTTACGTAATAGTTTTCCGGATAAACTCTTTTTTATCTTTACACAAGTTTTTAAAGGTTTATTTCGAATTCAATCAATTGTCTTTTATTCGTCAACTAAACTCTCTTTTAATGTAAAAATAACATTTCTGCAGTCTTTCATGAGAACTTTGCTGTCTTTTGCGTAGCATTTTGCAGGTGAGATTGAGGTGATAAATAGTCATTTATAGATGGCTGCAATAATTTTTTTTTAGATTTGCATCAGCGAAGATTACGGAGAAAACTCTTGGATTTATGGCACCGCAATTAGCTTGTTCCCATTGTTGTTTTGCATGTTAACATGTGACACTTTCTTTTCTTAATCTTATCTTGTTTCATGTAATAGTTTTCCGGATAATTTTTGTTTTCCTTGCACAAGTTTTTGAAATTTTAATTTTGGATTCAGTTGATCGACTTTTATTGTCAACTTTTCGCTGTCTTTTATGTGGACTTTGTTGTCTTCTCCGGAGCTTCTTGGAGTTCGAGTTGAGATGAGGAAAACTATCTATAGACAG